CAGCTGACCACCTATTTTTTTCCAGCAGGGTTCACGGAGCATGTCGGAGATACTCACAGCTAATAAAGAATGCAGATTGAGCCATCCTGTCGCGGTGATGCTAACGTCTCCTTGGGGAAACAGGTTGATTATACACTGCGCTAATAACGTGTCGCTGGTGGATGCATTCTGTGAACACAAATAACACAATATGAATTACACTAAATACTTTTTGATCACTTGGAAACTGAATGTGCCAGAGAGGAAACTGTAAGTGAATAATTTCCAATTTGGAGCACATATAGATTCCAAACAAAGGTTTGTGTTATCTTTAGCCAACAGGAAGTGATCAAGCCGGTTGGGTGGTTTGTTTTCATCAAGCTCATGGCTTTAACGCATGTTGCGGTGTTTCTCTGCAGATGGATGCAATTTGTGTATCACAAAACTTTTAAGTTTGGACGATGTGTAAAAACTTTACCATGTGTGGGTTGAGGGAGAGATCTTCCTGAGAGGACGAGCCGGCGGTAATGACACGTGGAGCGTTGCAGTGTGAGCCAGCCGTCTGAAACGAACAAACAGTGCTCTTAAATGGACAGTTCACCCCAAAATTTAAATGTGCTGTTAATTTACACACCCTCAGGCCATCAAAGATCTTTTTCTTCAGTAGAACAGTAAAGAAGATTTTTAGCTGAAACTCCCTGCTGAAAAAAAAAAAAAACAATAGACACCATCACAAAATTTGTAATGGTTTTACTGGTTATAATGGGATTTGTATTGGCTTTAATGGAAACTGTAATGGACCCTGTGGATTTCTACCGATAATTGGTCACCTTCTATTGGTGGCTTGTTAAAGACAATAAATCTTAATGGAATATGTCCCAAAACACACGACAGAAAACCATTTTTAATGGTTAAAAGTTGATGGTTTGTAATGGTATTTGTTGTGGAAACCATTAGAAGTTTCTGTGATGGTTTCTATTGTTTTTTTTTCAGCAGGGCTGTGATCCTTGGTGATTCATAAAATGCAAGTCAGCAGCTACCATCACTCTGAGAGGCAAAAAAGGCATAACAGGCAACACAAAATGAATTCCCGTGGCTCCTGATGATATATTGAGGTTTTATGAAGTGAAACAATCGGTCTGTGCAAGAAACTGAACATTATTTATAACACCACTGTAATCCTGGGGAAATTTGATTCTATCTCGTGAACTGATTCTTTCTGACAGTTTGTTTCAATGAACTGGTTCAATTCACTACTTTGTTTTCGCAATCACTCAACGCTGAAAAAGCAAAAATATTATTAAAACACCTACCAATGATGCAAAATGTGGATGTTTTACATATCTAAAACATATAAAGTGAATAAGCTTGTCTTCTTTTCACATAAACAAAGAGAAACCATAAAAACATTTATTTCTCTCCTTCATTCGAGTGTTCGGTTCACACATGCGCACATCAGCGGCTCATCAGTTCTTCAGTCCGAGCCGAACCGTTTCCTCAGTTCAGTGACTGTTGGAGGAATGATTCATTCATCACAGGATCAGATGCGCTGGTATTTTGGCTGATTTGAGTCTCGGTGACTGTCAGGCATCTGAAAGTAAGTTTTGATTGAGTAACTTGTAGATCTGAGCTGCTTGAGCCACAAACTGTTTCAGATGCTTCAGTCCTATTTGGTGAACTGATTCATCCAGTTCACTCAAAAAAACAGAATGATTCGTTTGTGAACCGGACATCATTTCGGACCTTTTGCCTAAGGCTCTGGATTATTAACCTTGTAAACAATATTCACTTTCTTGCACAGACTGATTGTTTCGCTTCAATATATCGTCAAAAGCCATGTGTATTAATTTTGTGCTCCTTTTTTTACTCTTAAAAACGGACAGCGTTTGATACATTTTATGAATCACCAAGGGCTAAAAATCCTTGGTGCTAAAAAGTTACAATTCTTCTTTAGTGTTCTACTGAAGAAAAGCAATCTTGGATGGCCTGAAGGTGAGTAAATTAACAGCACGTTTTCATTTTTGGGTGAACTATCCCCTGAAACACACGCCGCAAGTCATTCTTGATAACAAAACAGATGAGGATTTACACAAGAACAGCACTCATTGCACATTATTATTCTTTAGTTTGGGTTAAACAAATCAATTTTGCTTGGTTGGAACAGCAGCTAAAAAATGAGTGTTTACTATTGTCTTTTTGCATTAATGACACACTATTTTCCTAATTAATGCTGTTCAGTTGCTTTGACACAATCTGTATTGTTAAAAGCGCTATATAAATAAAGGTGACTTGACTTGACTCATTAAAACAACTACTGATTGAGCTGTGCCAACTCAGATAAACTGGATAAACAGATTGCTTGCATTATGAAACAGGCAAAATAGCAAGCTCTGGAAGCAGTTAAAGGATTCATTTACAACAATAATTGCACAATGCTCAGTTTTAGATGAACTGTTTCTTTAAAAAAAAACAAAGTTCGTAGTTTGAGGCTGAAATTTGATTAATTGAAAAATCTGTAAACATAATTAAGACAAAAAATGCACCTGATCAATATCCAAGTCTGAGAGGCGCAGGAGAGCGTTTGCATTTCTGGTCACAGCGAAGACGTTTAACGTGAAGAGAAGCTCAGATACGGGAAACATGCCGAGATTTTGGATCTGCGAAACAAATCGTTTTAGGAGAAACATCTTAGAAGTCCAAAGAAAATATTCATTTTGTTCAGATGCACAGCGTGTGTGCTCTGATTCATTCTGGAGAGTATTATTTAAAACCTGGTTTGGATGTGAGGAGCCCACCTGATAAGACAGATTGAAGGGCGGTCTGGTCCCAACAGGGAGGCTCTGGCCAAGCTCAGGTTTGATCTCAAAACGGGACGGGCTGGAATCTCTGAAAGAAAGACTCACAGTGTGAATGACTCAATATTAAATAATCACTTATTAGCTTTGAGATATTTCAGGGTGAATCTCACAAAACCCGTCAAGAACACGTCTGTGACATATTTCACCTCAAAAATCAGAAGAAAAAGGAATGCAGTTTTTATCCTAATTTTGTCCTGTTTTTGGACCATTCATATTTTTTATTAAATTTAAATTTATTATTACAGTTTTATTAATATTTTGAATTAGTTTTTTTCTGTTTACATTTTAATTTAAATTAAAGTTTTTTTTTTTATTTTAGCAATTTTATTTCAGTTATAGTTACATTTGTGCACACACACACAAATAACTATAACTGAAAAAAAATTGCTAAAATATATATTTTTTAAATTCAAATGGAAATATATATATATATATGTATATACGCGAACGCCTCTTAGCTGTTATAAATTCACTGCAAACCACGGCTTCACGGGGCTTATTGCTTTTATAATATATGTTAATAATTTATAGAATGTGTAGATACACATAGTGAAAATTAATTTTTGAAATTAGTTTCCAGAAAAATAACCAAACGTTTATAGAATATATAAAAAATGATGTAAATGAAATAAAATTAATATATTAAGTATTAGTAAGTATTAAAAATGTTTATACATTTTATAGTGCGTATATGCACACTATAATAAATATAGGGGAAAATAATTAATTCTTGAAATAATTTTCCAGAAAAATAACCAAATATTTATGGAATTAATATATAAAAGTTTATGCAAAATATATATATATATATATAATTAATTAATTTAATTAAATATATGCAAGTATTTAAAACGTTAATCATTTATGGAGTGCATATATGTATAGACCCTATAATAAATACAGTGGAAAATAATTAATGCTTGAAATTAATTTCTAGAAAAATAACCAAATATTTATGTAATTAATATATAAAAAATATATGTGAAAAAATAATATAATATAATATAATATAATATAATATAATATAATATAATATAATATAATATAATATAATATACACTTGACTTCTGGACATTTCTTTGTGAATTTCACGCTACTGTGTTACCTTGTGAAGAGAATATCAGCTTCATATTTCAGATTATGATATATGTCATTGATGTTGTCCTCTGGAGACATTTCTTCACCTTCACTGCAATGAAACAGACAGATTAATCTAAAAATAAATCTATAGCTTTCTTAAGCCAACATAATTTTTTTCAAAATGAATAATAATTTAATCTACATTAATTTTATACATCAATAAAAAAAAAATCCTTTAGAAGAGATTCTCATCGGTTCAAAGGTCACGACCTCACCTGGAGACCCTCAGAGTGATCTGGACGTAGTTCAAGAAGACAGATCTGCTGAACTCAAACTCCAGTCGGAAATACACCTGGATGAATAAAACAAAATGTGAAGCCAAACGAAACACAAAACGCAACTAAAGGACGTACTGTCGTCTAATTGGCGGTACTGTGATTAATTGCAATTGCTGCTTTGTACCGGATCTGAACAGAAGGTGCAATGAATTGTGAAGTGAGTGGAATGCAAGTAGTCAATGAAGAGTCTGGAGCGACGCCAGCCCAGCGAGAGCACAGGAAACCACACAGAAACACCAACTCATCACAGAATGTACCTGTAAACTCTCTGAGGAACAATCCCACTGAGAGACAGACTGATCGAACACGCATGGCGCACGAGAATCAGACCTTCGGTATGTGGAAAACGGCCCGTTCCGACAGGCATAAACAAATATCTGCATATGAAGAGAATTAAGGGATTTTACATGACGAGTTTTTCCGTTCTGTGACTTCAGTCGATGTCAGGAGGATTACGGACATCTTTTTAACAACCTCGGGCTTCTGTTTTGTCACAGATCGACTCCAACATTCTCTAAAACTGGAACATGTGACATGCATTTTTCCAAGCAATCAGGCAGCAGCATTTTTTTGACCGCATCTTCACAAACTAAAAAGTACCCAAATGAACCAATGCACGTCTTTGGAAATGCTACAATGGAAATAAAATGGCATCAGTGGCAATACCATGTTTTTGGGCATTTATCTTATAAATATCATGCCATATGCATATTGTAATTGAATAGCACAGTATATAACATTGCCATCTGATACCTTCACTAAACCACCACTTGAATGATCAGTAATACTCAGACTAGTCAGTTGTTGCAGGTCTGAGGCGTCTCACCTGAGCAAAGGACCTCATGAACGGCGCGCTGATGTTGCAGGTTCGGTAGAGGCTCATATCATCAGAGTTTGGACACTCGATTGCAATGTCTGAAGGTGCCTGAAAAACAAGCACATTTTCGATTTCAGACCAACGCATTTCTGCGGAGGAAAGCTCACAACTGAAGATCATTCCAAAGACATTATGGAGTAAATCACTGAATGGACAAAAGGCGAGTTTAGTAGTCAATATACTGACTTTAGAAGTTTTATTTGCACCAGTCTATCACTTGAACTACAGTCCACATGAACTCATGTTACAATTTGGTTCATGAATACATCTGATGAACGCTTATTTCATTCATAATCACCCTTAAATGTTTAGGAATTTCAATTGTTTGAATATTTGAATTTTTGATCTATGTAAACATGCATCGATTGCCATTGGATGTTTATTCAGTGTTTTGTGTTATGAGCACCTATTCGTTTCTGATTACGGAGTTTATTTTTTTAATGTATTTGAATTCATTCGATTTATTTCCCATATATTAATCATCAATATAATTTCTATTCGATAAAATGCAGTATTTTAGAGCAGTATTTGCTTAAAATGTTAATCAGTTTATTTATCTAAAAAATGTATATGAAATATTTGTATGACTTTTCCATGAAGATTTGATTTAAGGTCTGCAAATCACACTTTTAAACGTCCCTCATATATCCAGGTTGATCAAGACCATGGGAACCCTGGTAATTAAATCAAAATGGCAGTTGTTAGGAGAACTAATTAAAATAAGAAACATGATTTCAGTTTTTTTTTTATTTCCAGTGAATTTATATTACTTTTTTAGTCAATTGTGATTACAGGGATTATTTCTTTAACTTTTAAGTCTTTATAATTAATTTAATAAAATTTCAATTTGATCATTTGCATTAAAATGCCCCTTACATATTCAGGTTGTTCTTTAATAAAAATAGCATTTGTCAAGGAAACACATTAAAATAAGAACATGATTTGTTTACATCTTAATTCTTAGCTGTTTTAGCTTGTTTTGGCTATTTTAAAATTATTTTAACATGTCTTTTAGGGCTGTTTGTGTGGCATATATGTGACCCTGGACCACAAAACCAGTCATAAGGGTCAATTTTTTGAAATGGAGATTTATACATCATCTGAAAGCTGAATAAATAAGCTTTCCAGTGATGTATGGTTTGTTAGGATAGGACAATATTTGGCTGAGATTTGAAAATCTGGAATCTGAGGGTGCAAAAAAATCAAAATATTGAGAAAATCATCTTTAAAGTTGTCCAAATGAAGTTCTTAGCTATGCATATTACTAATCAAAAATGAAGTTTTGATATATTTACGGTAGGAAATCTACAAAATATCTTCATGAAACATGATCTTTACTTAATATCCTAATGATTTTTGGCATAAAAGAAAAATCGATAATTTTGACCACAATGTATTTTTTTGGCTATTGCAAAAAAATATCCCCAAGCAACTTAAGACTGCTTTTGTGCTCCAGGTTCATATACAGTGGGTACGGAAAGTATTCAGACCCCCTTAAATTTTTCACTCTTTGTTATATTGCAGCCATTAATACTTTCTGTACCCACTGTATGTGTTGCTCAGTCACTTATCAATGAGATTAGGATGCTGCCTATGAAGTCACTGAGGAAGTTCACTAGGCTTTGGATCAGATCCACACACACTGACTCATAGTTTCCCTTCCACTCTTGGCCTCTTTATCAGCGACCCCTTCCACCTCACGTTTGAATTCCTTCTTTAATGCTCTAAACCCTCATAAATACAGGTTAGGCCTGGGCTGAGACTCAGATCAGGATTTTTTTCCCGAAAACAAACCTTCAGCACCAGACTGGAGAACTGGAGGTTTGGAGAATGCGTGATGTGCAGGATCGTGCCGTATGCGTTTTCTCCCCGGTTCTCTAAACGCGCCTCCACCAGCACTTTCCTCCGGCTGGCCTCCACCAGACGCTCGCCGCTCGTCCTCTGATGGACACACGGCGGCCACGAGGAGCGCTCGCGTCGCCCGCAGAACTGCCTGAAAGAGACAGACATAACAGGGTTTCTGAAGGTTTCATCAAGATACACTCTAAAAAATGCTGGGTTAAATACAACCCAGTGCTGGGTAAAATAGGGACAAACCCAGCAATTGGGCTGTTTTGACCCAGCGGTTGGGTTAAATGTTTAACCCAACCTTCTGGGTAGTAACCCAACCGCTGGGTCAAAACAGCCCAATTGCTGGGTTTGTCCCTATTTTACCCAGCACTGGGTTGTATTTAACCCAGCATTTTTTAGTGTGTACTTGTTTAAGACTTTTTTAAGGAATAAATTGAGGGGAACACAATATGTTCTCAAAATGTAAATGCATAGAGAGTAGACAATGAGTCATATTAGTAACACTTTAAAGTTTGAAAATACAACTTCCAACAGATTTGCATTACTTTTTAATTCTTTTTACAAAAAATTTAATAAAATACTGTAGCTTTTAACTTGAATAGCTCTGCTCCCAACCACTAGAATATGGGGGGGAATCTGTTCACGATGCAAACAAGTGATGTTCTTCATCTTGTTTTTCGAAGCAAATGTCTAAAGATTCTTAAATGAAGACATAAGAAGTCTTGCTTTCTGAGAAATGGATCAAAGATTAAGTGAGTTTATGATTAAAAAGAACAAAATATCTGCTAACGCGTTCAGAAAATTGTACCTAATTCATAGCAAAGTTTTTCATACCCCACTGACAGATTGTTTTCATCTTTTAAGCATTAGTTGTGTTCAATTATTCAGAAAACATGACTTCATATCTTCATTTTGCATCTATCTTGATTAAAGGATGCTTAGATATTTATACTGGAAAACAAGTCAAAAATACTGAGTACGAAAATCCATGACTACACTGCAAAAAATGATTTTCTTACTAAGTATTTCTGTCTTGTTTTCCATTGCAAATATCAAAACATTCTTAAATCATGATTACTTTTTCAGAAAACAAGACATAACATCTTGTCATTTTGCTTCTCAAGTAAATGCATCTTGATTCAAGAATGTTTAGACATTTATACAAGAAAACAAGACCAAAATACTAAGTAAGAAAATCCTTTTTGCAGTGTATGAATTTAAGACTTTATACCCAATTTAAGACCTTTTCAATGTATGAATTATGACTTTTTAAGACCCTGCTTAAGGACTGAGGTGTTTCAGTGTGCGAGGAAGAGCTAAAATGTGCGTTTGAGGACAAACCTGCGATCTAATAGGTCTGAGGTGCTCTGCAGGACGAGGTTGGGAATGCACTGATCATCATTATCACAACCGTTCCAGAATGGTAGCTGGAGAGAAAGAAATGTCATTTGGAAGGGTGCAAGACAAAAGTGTTATGTGTCTGTCTGTCTGTGTGTCTGACCTCTGACTGCAGACTGGTGGGCCACCCGTCGTCAAGCACCGGCCCTTCATCTGCGTTCTGCAGGCCTACGGTAACACTGAAGATCAGGGGTCGTGTGTAATCTGTCACTTCCTGTTTAAACAAACAGAACGATACCATTTCAGCACTGCAAAGATGATTTTTTTACTGCATATTTGTGACCCTGGAGCACAAAAGCAGTCTTAAGTCGCTGGGGTATATTTGTAGCAATAGCCCAAATTACATTGTATGGGTCAAAATTACCGATTTTTCTTTTATGCCAAGATATTTTGTAGATTTCCTACTGTAAATATATCAAAACTTAATTTTTGATTAGTAATATGCATTGCTAAGAACTTAATTTGGACAACTTTAAAAGGTGATTTTCTCAATATTTAGATTTTGTTTTTTGCACCCTCAGATTCTAGATTTTCAAATAGTTGTATCTCAGCCAAATATTGTCATATCCTAACAAACCATACATGAAATGGAAAGTCTTGTTTTCCAGTATAAATATCGAAACATTCCTAAATCAAGATATTTACTAAAATATCAAAATAATGCCAAAATATATACGTTTAAAACCACATGGGGAGATATTTTTCTTGTTTTAAGCATACAGTAAATGCACTTAATTTTTAAATACATTTTTCTGACTCAATATTTTAAGAAAGTAAAACAATGTACCTTGATTTAAGAATGTTTAGATATTTCTACTGGAAAATAAGACAAAAATATTGAGTAAGTATTTTATTTTTTGCATTGAACAGTTTACATCACATTAATATTCCTGTAAATTAATTCATATTCATAAATATTAACACATGTGATCGTCAAATATTAAATAACTACTAGTGGGGTAGAAACTGTGAAATATTTGCTGTAAATGTGAATCAAGTATGACAGGAGTGGACATTTCTAAATCAAGACATTTTTATTGCATATTGGTCCTCTGGAATATTTGAATCTGATTGGTTAATTGCAGCATTGGACAAAATTTGTCTGCATTTATTTGGTCAAAGTAAAAACTGAAAAATTGTGAAATATTATTACCATTTAAAAGAACTGTTTTTGTGAATCAATACCACATTATCCAGTCTTCAGTGTCAAATTATCCTTAATACATCATTATAATGTGCTGGTTTTCTGCTCCCAAAAAAAAACAACAACAACACAACTGATTATTCTGATTATTTTCAGTGTTGTAAACAGTTCATATTTTTGTGGAAAACGTAATACATTTTGTTTCAGGATTCTTTGATGAATTGAATGTTCAAAAGAACAACATTTATTTAAAATAGAAATCTTTTGTAACATTATCAATGTCTTTACTGGCACTTCTAATCAATTTAAAGTCTGCGTGAACCGGAAGTTGCTGCTGACTTTATTTCAGTATGTTCAGTATGGTCTAACTGAAACGGAATATTGAGTAGAGGGCGGGGTTTTATTTTTAAGCTCCTCCTCTCGTCTTTCACTTGCAGCAAACTATCGGTTGAAGGGGCGTGGTTAAGCTAATTCTGCCCAAGCCGTCAAACTGACGTCATCAGAGCAGGAGTGCCATTTCGGAGCAGAAGCAAATGATCAGATTTTGATTAAAGATTACCAAGACAAAAACATTTTTTCAGAGGATTAACTTGCACGGATTAATTGTTCACTTTAAGACTAACAATGTGCACTAACAAAATAAATATTGTACATTTTGATTTCATGGGGACTTTATGAAATCAAATGCATAAATATGACAATGCTAATGTATTTGGTCTTGGCGGAAATAGATCTGCTACGCTGCTGCTGAATTGCTGCTGCAGTTGGTTATTGCTGTAGTTGTAGATTATTGCTGCTGCTGCAAGCAAGTACAGGAAATGGTGACGTATTTCTAACTGAAACGGAATATTGAGTAGAGGGCGGGGTTTTATTTTTAAGCTCCTCCTCTCGTCTTTCACTTGCAGCAAACTATCGGTTGAAGGGGCGTGGTTAAGCTAATTCTGCCCAAGCCGTCAAACTGACGTCATCAGAGCAGGAGTGCCATTTCGGAGCAGAAGCAAATGATCAGATTTTGATTAAAGATTACCAAGACAAAATCATTTTTTCAGAGGATTAACTTGCACGGATTAATTGTTCACTTTAAGACTAACAATGTGCACTAACAAAATAAATATTGTACAGTTTGATTTCATGCAGGAAGGTGGAGGGTTTCAGAGAAACTCTGAAAGCGCGCTGCAGGAAACTCAAGCGAATGCTAGCCAGCTATATAAATGAAAGGCAGTAAGCTCAACCTGCTCCATCTAGAGTTTCATGACTGAACCATACATACATACATCTTACTGACCCCACACTTTTAGACCTCAATATAGATGCTAGATTCATTAAAAAAAGAGCTGAAATGGATAAAAGTGACTGCAGTGTGAACACATGTACAGAAAGTGGCTCACATGAACATGGAAATACACTTGCTGGCAGTAATCCGAGTCCGGCCGCAGGGTGACGTCACGGGGCTGCGGCTCTTCAGTGCTGTCCAACACGGCTCTGGGGAAATATCTGCTCTCCTCGAAACCAAAGCTGTACCTCAGCGCTGAACAGAAAAACAACATCTCAATGTCAAGAATAGCAACATCTCTGTTTATGCACCCATTTCCAAATATATAGTTATTTTACAAGAGCAAATCCGGTTCATAATGCACCTTATATTCTTAAAAATAAAGCTTCCAAAATGTTTTTTTTTTTTTTTTTTCACAGCAGTGCCATAGAAGAACCATTTTTGGTTGCACGAAAGGTTCTTTAAAGAACCATCTCTTTCTTACCTTTTTATAATCTGAAGAACCTTCTTTCGCCACAAAGAACCATTTGTGAAACAGAAAGGTTCTTCAGATGTTAAAGGTTCTTTATGGAACCATTTAGACAAAAAGGTTCTTCTATGGCATTGTGAAGCACCTTTATTTTGTTGGGAACGAACCCAAATATAAGCCATTTTAGGCCACTTTTGGGTATTCTTATTTTGATATTTTTAAGCGAAATTCTGCTAAGCATCTCCTTTTGTGTTCTGCTGAAAAAATTGGAAGAATAAATGACAGACTTTTAATTTTTGGAGAAACTAGCCAGCATTTGATAAAAAGGTGAATGCTATCTGTCTGTTTGTGACTCTCAGACACATTTATGTTCTGTCCTGATATGTTCCAGATGGGAAATGTAGGGGATGCCTGACACAGTTTTATGATGATTTCCAAGGACTCTAAATGCTGGGATTAAAGTGTTTTCTTTTTGGCCGGAGGCTTTATGCATTAGGAAAAACTGTTCTAATATTAAGGAGTGACCTTTCGAGCAAACATCTGAAAGACATTACTCAAAGGCACGGGACGCTGGAAAATACAACAAATGTGCATTTATCATTCAGCCATCTGATTGGTCAGTCATTTTCAGGTTTGCAGATAGAGTCCAGTTACATACCGACTGTTTTTGGATCTGTGATCGGTGTCTGCGGCGTGATGTTCAGGCAAACGGTGGCCAACATGCATGACACCTCTCGACTTCCTCGGACGCAGTCTTTATTAAAAACATTGATTTTCGAAGGCTCAAAATGAATGCTGATCCCCACACGGACGACACTGCGAGACCTGTTTGAAAACACATGAAGCTATAAAACTGCCTCAGGAGAATTCAGGAGATTTCAATTATGAATCATGTTCGTTTCTCCTAAAATCTCAAACGAGAAATACAAGCTGAAAGAGATTAAACTATGTTATATATAACACATTCAAAATATAGAGCTAAAGATCTTTTGATCTTGATTTGAGTTCATGTTGAGATTACAATGGTCTTTTTTGGAAGCAGAGACTTTTATTTTTGCTTATTTATTTCCATTTAATCTTACTGCTGTCTATGAGAAACAATTATGATACAGTATTAAAGAGACTTCATTTGGGATTTTTTTCCCTCCTATGTGATACCAGGATTATTATCATTAGCTACAACTTAAACCATTAAGAAAATTATTACTTGAAATAAATAGTAAAAAGTTAAATGAAACAAAGATATAAAGAAAAATCTTAAAAAACACAAATTTTTAACAATATATATATATATATATATATATATATATGTTATTTTTTATTTTTTTTATTATTATTTCAGCTAGTTGCCATAGCAACATTTCTCATTTTCATTTAATTTAACTTGATGTAATAAAATAACAACTAAAATAACAATTAATTAAATCTATATAAACATACCTTAAAAAAATTACACAGAACAAAATGACTAAAACTTGAAAATGAAAATGGAAAATATATAAAAAGCTAATTCAAAATATTAATAAAAACTATAATTAGCATATCAATGATACTAAAGTAACACTGTGTTATACATTCACATCCATTTACATCATATTAAAACTGTCTATTTGAATATTTGTGGAATTATAGTGTATTATAATAATACTTCGTACAGTAATTTATATATTTTTATTTTCACAAGTGATGATGGCTCAAGCCGCCAGTGTTATTTTAGCATCTTTGAGATCCAGTTATATTTTTAAATTATGATTTTTTAAAATGAATCTTAAAACCATATTCATTCTTTTTGGATTGAACTGGATGAGTTCAGCAACACTGAACTCATACGTCATCCGCCTGGAGCTGCTTCAGTGTACAACTGTTGCCGCAAGCTACATTAAAGTGATTATTACGTTTTGAATATGGATATTTTTCTCACAAAAACACATCGATTCGCTACAGGAGGCCTTTGTTCACACCCCGGAGCATATAATATAATATAATATAATATAATATAATATGAACAACGAGTCAGCAATTATAGTGTTCACAAACCATGAGTACACAAAACATGCATATCTTAACAGTTATTCGGCGACAGAAGTTCTTCAGTAAATGCTCTGACGAATTGAGTTAATTCAGTGAAGTATTCATTCACTGATTCAAACTCACTGTAAAACTAGTAATTCCAGGGTCTTTTGAACGACTCCTTAAAAGAACAGTCTTATAAGAGTCACTCGTTTGTGAAACAGATTACACAAGTCGCGCTGTGTTCTGTTCAACAAGTAAATAGTTCGCTAAATGACTCACTAAACGAACCGGCTTACACTGGTCGAGCTGTATGTTAATAAACCACTGAAAAGAATCTGCTCATAAGAATAATTTGCTGGTGAATCGAACTACAGTCACGAGGTATGTTTGTTTTTATGTGCTGCCCGGGAGTACAACTCAATACACGATCTTTTTACATCATCTTACTGAATTTAGCCTACAAGCTCAAGAAAAATATTAGTGCTGGGCAACGATTAATCTCGATTAATCGCATCCAAAATAATTTTGGGTGAACTAACCATTTAAGCTATTGGTTCGTAAGTATGACTCTTAACTTAACCTGCCCCATGTGAAGTGTGTAAACTCACCAAAGCAGAACTGCGGCACCTAAAGCGCCCACAGAGAGATCTATGAGCTCATCTCCATTCACATCCATCATCCCATGCACACTGCGGCCAAAATAACGGAGACCTGGAGAGATGTCACCAGCGGCTATTCTCTGAGGAGAATGACAAGAATTAAAAATGAACAAATAAGGTGCAAAAGGTCATACCTGTTATTATATTCTGGAATGCCGTTTAATCATGTTTATTAAATATCAGTGACTCCCAGTTGAGTCTTACCTGTTTGTATTTGGGTTGGATGCTGTTTTGTTGGCCGTAGAAGAGATAGATGGCTCCCTTGTGATTGTCCTCCAGTGGTGCACCCACTACCAGCTCACTGAAGCCGTCGCCATTCAAGTCTGGAAGAGTGTACATGGCCGCGCCAAACCGAGAATCATGGGTCTTTTCTGATGGTCCAAGAGTCCCATCTGGTATTAAAGAGCCCTGCGGAATAAACAGAGAAAGAAAGACAAGAAAATATTCATTCAATTGGCTGTGTTTAGAATCGAATACTAGTATACTAACCTTAAGCAAACAATGTTGTCGCATGACCTCGTGGCATCCAAACCATCTGAGACGTTTGTTTGAGGTTCATATTTTTGTTAAAATAATCAGTTGATCCATTATAATCAGTGATGTGGTCTACACTGGATGCGGCGCAACACGACAAATCCCCGACAGTAAACTGTTGCCTCGCCTGACGTACTGAGACAAAGTTCAAATGATTTGCAACGCCCGCTTTGTCACATCCATTGTGAAAACCCTCAAGCTGTTGGTTTATTTCAGTAATTTATTTATTTATTTATTTTGCCTAGTAGAAGTTATGAATGGCCGGTAACTTAATTTAGTAACCAAATTGGCTGGTGAGTGAAAAAGTTCAAATTTAAACCATGAATATAATATAATATAATATAATATAATATAATATAATATAATATAATATAATATAATATAATATAATATAATATAATATAATATAATATAATATAATATAATATAATATAATATAATATAATATAATATAATATAATATAATATAATATAATATAATATAATATAATATAATATAATATAATATAATATAATATAATATAATATAATATAATATAATATAATATAATATAATATAATATAATATGTGTACTGTGTATATTTATTATGTATATATAAAGACACGCACATACAGTATATATTTTGAAAATATTTACATGTATATATTTATATTAATATAATTTATATTATATATAAATATATTCAATATATCAACATATATTTATTAAATATATACATGCATTTGTGTGTATTTATATATACATAACAAATATACATAGTACACAAACATATATTATGTACACAAAAAACTTTTATTTTGGATGCGATTAATCGAGATTAATCGTTGCCCAGCACTAAAAAATATATAGAATTTATTCTGCTGTGGCGCTGTAGATTCAGTGAGAGTTGCGTAAACAAGCGGTATATAATGAAAACGATGAATAGTATCCTACTTCAAACATAACCCAAGTCTTTCTGTGAACAAGTACTCTTTAAGAAAGCATTATGGTGTTGTGTTTAGGATGTTGTTACCTGTAAGGTGATGGTGTAGATGTGAACTCTGCCTTTCTCCCACCCTTTGTAGAAGTACATGGGAGCTCCGACAAGGAAAAGATCCGTCAATCCATCGTCATCCAGATCAATCGGTGCCAGCTCACTTCCATAATACGATCCGATCTACAATTCACCAAAACATGCACATATACGTTAGGCCATAGTCTATGTATCTGTTTTGGGTAGTTTCTAGATTGTATTAACAGAGCTGCCAACTTTTGAGTTCAACTTGGAGTGAGAATTCCCACAGCGGGTTGGGTGGGGTACATTGTATTGTACAATTATGGGAAATATAAATATTAAGTTTACAGCAGTTAATTAAGTTACGTTAAATTATTTTAAGTTTTTTAGGACAAGGACCCCTGGAGCAGGGACCCCTGATGGAAAATGTGTCAAGCAGAGCTACATATTAAGCATATAGCCTTCAATATTAATAGAAAGGAAACATATTATGATTAAGAATAAATTGCATGTACCCTAATAAAAAAGTTATATATTTAAAATACATTTCATGCTAAGTATAGTTAACAAAAATAAATAAATCAGTCCAAGTGCGCACATCCAGTAGGCAAAAAGCTCAATGTGGGTGCTCCACCACACAAGAATTTGAACCAAAAAAATCAAAGTAGGCACACCACAGCTCCAGAAAATACTAAGTATAGTTAAACTCTATTAACATATTTACTGACAGATAACTCGAGACTTATTGATCTAAAAATTATAATTAAACTTTATTTGGAGTACTACTTCTGCATTATGCACATTTCATAATATTAAGTCTAAAATGTGTTTTAATGTCACTTTTGATATGGATTGTATGATCTTTGAATAATATCGGTCTTTAAATGCAAGATATTTAAAGTGTACCTGAAGTGTACTTAGCAATAGTTCCACTAAAGCACAATCAAATATACTAAGTATATCTTTAGTTGTACTTCAGCACTACTTCCGCACAATGAAAGTGCATACAAAACTAGTTGTTCCAATTTAGCAGAATTTAAGTATACCAGTTTAGTATACTAAAAGTACAAAAGCTGGGCATGTTTTAAGCACATAAATATGAAAATGTATTTGTAGTATACTTAGCATGAAATAAATGTATTTCACATACATTTAAGTATATCTATTTTTCACTAGGTTATATTAAGACCATGCATTTTACTGTCAGATGGACAAATACACATTTACTGGAACTTTAGTTTAACATTTTAATTTTTAACATTTTAATTTTAATCTACAGCCTGTTTTTCTATTGCATCAATGATGGAAGACACATTGTGCGGCAGGTTCTTCTGAACTTGCGTTTCAACCCTGAAAGTTCCTGCCGGCTTTACAAACACCAGAACACAGGAGACGCACTTTATCACATTCCCGTCTAAGTGCTATCCTGAGGGCTCAAACACACACACACAGTCTGGTGCATAACAGGTTGATGGCTAAATGAATGTTGTGGTCGGCGACCGGCAGCGTTTGAAACAGTAAGCGTTTATTGTGTGCATTCACTGCAGGCCATGCGTACACAAACACACACACACACACACACACACACACACACACACACACACACACACACACACATACACACACACGTGCAGATGAGATGCACATGGGCTGCAGAGACGCCTGCCCATCTGGAGCGGGTGACTGAGTCTAGACCTTCACACGCTGTCTCCTGTCCACACACATGGTCCGCATTAATCTACTGATGTGCCTCTCCAATCAAACACGCCACCATTTGAGAGAGAGAAGGTATGATGGAAAAATGCAGACAGATGGATTAAAGAAGCAGTCAGGGGAAACGTTCACCATTTAGGCCAAATGCACACTACTACACTCACTAAACAGTTGCGGCACTTTTACATGCACTATTAGCCATGCAGATTATTTCATGCAGATTAGCCCTATTATAGATTATTGACAAGGCAGCACGATTTCCATGGAACAACTAACCATGGAATGTTGTTTAAAAGATTGTGGACATTTTGTTCTGATAATGGCAGGAGTAATTTATCAAAAGATGGAGAAGAACATTATAACAAGGCTATTTTTGCACGGACTCATGGTCTTTTTCATTCTTGCAATTTCATGGTTTTCTGCGGGTCGTTGCCAAGGCATAGGTGTATTACATAGGTGTAGAAAGTCTTACATTTATTGGCAAGGCACTAAATCTTATATGAAATGTAAAAATGAATATCTATAAATATCTACCAATGATTCCAAAAAATCTTGTCGGGTACAGAACAAGAATCATTAGATGACATTAAAAGACTCTATTTAAAGATCATTTTAAATCTTTACCTATCTTTGCCACTATCCTTCAAACCACTATTTTACCCATTTGTCAGCAATACATTTTTAATCATTTAAAATATAATAAAATTTTGTATAAATTTTGTATTTAGTCATTTGTATTTAGCATGTTAGCAGTAAAATTGATACATTTTGACATTTTATTTTCACAGAAGTTATTAGAAACATTGAAGTAGACACTTTATTTGCACTCTCTCTCTCTCTCTCTCTCTCTCTATATATATATATATATATATATAATCACGTAATTTTTTACTTTTTATCTTATGTCATTTTGCTTCTCAAGTAAATATATCTTGATCTTAAGAATATTTTAGATATTTGCACTGGACAATGACTAAATTACTGAGGAGGAAAATCACTTGTTTGTGCTGTTGCCAATTTATCGTAGTGTCTGTAAGTACTCTCTCAAGTGTGCACACTAGAAATCTTGGCAACAGGCAGGTGGCTACAATTTGGCACTTACATAAAGTACCAAAAAGTATTATGGTACTGCCTATGGTACTGCCATGCATGGCTCAAAAATAAATATTTTTACTTGGTCTGCCAATATTTTCACTGGCCCCACTCCAAAAAAGTAGTACATTTTTAATGCTCATATGCCAAAACAGATATTTATTTCTTCATTTAATGTCAAGTATCTTTGCAAAGTATATATACGTTTTTAATTTGCAGTAAGCCTCACTGTTGAGCCCTGCCATGTTTGTTACCATGGTATTCGTGGAAGTACCACGTACTACTTAGAAGTGTAGTGTGTACTTGGCTTTACCTGCTGTCCGTAGAGTGAGTACAGTATGGTGAGGTTGCCGCTGTTGGTCAGCGTAAAGATGACAACTTTCCCCGTGTGGTTGAATCGAGGAGCTCCAGCGACATACAGCTGACCGTGCTGAGCCGAGACGACTGATGACACCATGTACCCTAGAAACAAGTGTCAATTTATACATTATACACACAGTAAATATGATAAATATTGCCTATACTGGCTTAGAGAAAATATACAATTCAAAAAAACAAATTTTAAGACTAGTTATGAAACTCGCATGTATTTTCTTCCTAGTTTGGTGCTGGTTAGTTAAGTAGCCTTAAATGTCTTAAAATTAGTCCATGCTACATATGTAAGACGTATGATAGCTTGCATGGGGAACAGACTGAAATTTATGTCTTTATTCATTGAACATGTTTCTTTCCATACCTAATGATTCCTTCCTTTCAAACTTGGCGGGTCATTTTTGATTGCAATGCATGCAAAAACCAATGCCGACATCCAATATGGTGCAGCACATCTTCATTTGGTGAGTTTTGCTATGTGCATGCATAAATTAAACTGGTAAAGAATAGAGTGAACATTCTTAACCATTTCTTTTATGTTCTACAGAAGAAAGTCAGTCGTTTTTGAACTTGAGGGTGAGTATATATTCATTTTTGTCAGTCATGGAATCAGATCCTCATTTGGTACTGACCAAAAACGTTTCTTACCCAGATATGCTCCATGGTTCTTCAGTTCCTCTGGGAACTCTTTCATGTATGAGGACTTGGGTGGGATGACTTTACCATGATGGGTCTCTTTCAGAACAGCTCCGTTCCAGTCATATGCCCCAACGGCACCAACCAGAATACCATCCTTTAAGAGAATGGTTTGCATCTTCAGTTGTTTACATTTACTTTTATCATAAACCATTGCACTTTTATGAAAGGGAAATGCACGTACAGTCATAAGTGAAAGAGAAAAAAACACAGTGTTGAATCAGAGATCTGGGTTCATGTACCTGCAGTGAGAACTCAGTGAGTGTTCTGGGATGATGACTAATGGCCTGGCAGTGACTTCAGCGGTATAGAGAATGCAAACAGAGAGTTTTGCCAAACCTCTCCTGCACCGATCACAGAGCTCCTGCCAAAACTCTGCACTGCATTAACATCTGGGACTTTAGTATTCAAATCCATAAGGAACTGCCCATTCCCAACCAATACCACCACTACACTCAAATACGCTTGGTCATACTGTAGTCCTACTCCAGTTCAGACTGAATGTCCAGTACTAACGAACTAAATGAATGACCCATGCACAACTCAACGGCACAATGCTAGAAAGCTGTAACAGGTTAAGGAAATTGCAAGCAGTTGCTAAAGTGTTGGTTTAATGGGTTTCTACGCAGTTGCATTGTGTTATTTTAGTACAATTTATGTAATATTGCAGTATTTATTCATATTTTAAATTAGCTTTAATGTTTTCATTTAATTTGTAGTAATTTTATGTGCTTTGTCAATTTGATTAATTTTGTTTTTAATTTTGTAGCTTTAACTTTATTACAGTATTTATTCATATATTAAACTAGCTTTGATTTTTCTATTTTCAATTTTAATTTTAAGTTTTAGCAAGTCTTTTAAGGTTATTTGTCTATTTAATTTGATTATATTTCTATTTAGCTTACATTTGTTTTTATTTAAGTTTTAGTCATTTCAGTCTGTCGCCAATGCAACATTTCTATCTTTACGTTTTTTACGTTTTTCCATCTAATATTTACATTTTATTTTATTTCAGCTTTATTTCAATTACTGAATTTTTTTATTTTATTTTTTTTAAGTTTTAGTTATTTAACAATAGCAACTCTGTTACAACAAAGTTGTTCTGGGTGGTTGCTAGGGAGTTGCTACGCAGTTTCCAAGGTGTTCGGAGGGGGTTTTAACATGTTTCTATACCGTTACTTAGGTGTTTTGGGTGACTGCTTGGAGTAGTTTTTAGTGTGTTGCTAAGGTGTTGCTATGTGGTTGCTTACTGGCCCAAGTCAAAAGTGTCACATTTTCCCCCTGTTTAAGTAGATTTTTTCACAGTTTTTTAGTAATTTAATAGTTTAATTCTCCAACATGCATCATACTTCAAATGTAAATTTTATATCAGCCAGGTTTTGAACAAATTTTTAAAAAAGTTGCTATATAGGCGTTTTCAAGCAGCAAACCATGAAAGTCTTATGAAGTAATATTAACCACAGAAAACCACTATTCTAAAAATGTATTAGATATTCCCGAGGGAAACTCTGGCTTGAAAATGCCAGTTATCTCCTGCTGTTTGGACTATAAACTGAACAGCTTCGTAGTGACAATTGGCTTAGTAAACACCACTAATAATACACTACACAAACCATATTCTCCAAGAGGAAGACTCAGTCAATTTGCAGTTTAATGCACAGGAGAGATATTTTCCATACAAACGGTGGTCGTGTCAGGGATCTGGACCACCCTTTGTGATTAAATGGACAGAAAAGTCTCCGGCTTTGATATCCTGGATGCATGCGAGCGAGAGCAGCAGTCATCTGTGAGTCTGACTGGAGGACTAAAACTCGCTGCGTTCACTGCCAAAGTTTTCCTCATGCAATGTCGACGTGGACACTTTGACAGAGTTCCATGCCACATTTGCACAATAAACTCTCTCCAATACACTCTGTGTGTTGTTCCATTTGCTTTTTATTAGCAGTGCTTGCAAAGGCAAACCCCTGAACAAACCCTTAATATACCCAGAGTATTAAACTTCAGTATGTAACATTTGTGCTAAAGAAATAAAGAAATAATGCCTCAAATTGTGTGGATTATTGAGGAAAACACTAGCAACCACCCAGAACACCTAGCAACCATCTAGAAATGGTGTAACGATGCAAAGTCAGAAATAACATAATTTTGAATCTCTGACTAGTAAAAACCATTCATGTCTTAACAAATTGGTAGTGGTTTCAATAGTTAAATATAGTTAGGTGACATTTTGCCATTTATAATGTAATGTTATTGTGGCTATGCACTCTGTCTTTGCTCTTTAATATTTTACAGGCGCATAAAGAGGATAATTAATGTGACTATGTTTTATTGTCATCAACATGAACACGAACATGGATCCATTTCAGCATTTTGAGCACTAATAACTAATAATTTCTGAGACAGCTTGGAGTAGATTAAAGGTAAAACAAACCAAAAAAAATATTATATTACTATTTACTATTACATTGAAATATTTAGATGTATTCTAATAAATAAGTATTTCTTGAAAGGAATTTCGGTGAAAAGAAATGTGCCCAAATGTGCAGTTTTCAATTATATTTTAAATTCATCTTATTTTTATATTTTCTCTTAATTTTAGTTAAAGTAATTTTGTTGTGTTTTTGTCATTTATATTTTATTTTAATGTCTATTTCTGTTTTATTTAGTTTGAGTTATTTTAGTACTGAGAAATGTTACACACACACACACACACATATATATATAAGGTGCTTGGCTTTATATAAATGTTACATAAATGTAGCACAATTATGCTGCCTCGTAAGATCCTTCTTTTATCAGAAATCTCAAGCTGCAACATGCTTTGTGGCGAAGGCAATCCCAGAATGCATTGCAGGCTCAGAGATGCAGACGATGTGAGGTAAATGTTAATTCTAAATTAACTCAATATTTGTGTTTTCTTTGGATTTTAATGCTTGCTGAAGTCCCACGTTGTGTGCTAATGTCAAACTCTATTGGAATCAATTGTAATTGCTATTTGCATGACACACTAGGCCTTTTGAGTGATCCAAATCAGTCACTTATGAGATTTTATATCATTTTCATTTTTGATTCTATTCAGTTTAATCTATTTCACCAATGTAGACATCTGACAGCAAGGTTTTGGAACAGAGTGTATGAGTTTTTTTGGCCTGGCAGCTCTTTACGAAACAAAAGCAGTGAAATCTAGTATGCCATGTCGATGTCAGCGGCCCAAGCTAATAAACCAACTTCCAAACGTTTTATTTCCATCTGATTAGGTTTTATTTACTGCAGTCTTTATGGACGCCAAACTCTTTTCCTTATAAAAAAAACAAAACAAAGTCATTCCTTTAAAAACATTTGCAGCCACAAGCAAATAAGGCCTTTACAAATACAGTCACATGTCCAAGTGTGCACATAAAAGACAAGGGCACGTGTGTGAGAGTGTTTGTGTGAGGGTTCCTCGCTCGAGGAGCCTAATTCAACAAAACCATATGTGTTCTCTGGACCTAGTTCCCTGGGAGAAGTCAAGAATGAAAAAAAAAAACTTTCCGAGACGTTATCTCCCATCTCGAATTGCC